TATATATTTTTAATATTTTGGCCTTAGGTTTAATATATTATAATAGCCTTTTTTTCCTTAAATTTATTAAGCTAATAATTTGCTTTATAGAAATTCCTTAAAATTTTATAAGAATATTATTTTAATTATAATGTTTTAATTCTTCTTATATTACTTACTATAAAATATATAAAAGGAAAACTATAATAAAACAAAAATTCATATAAAATATACTAAAATATAAAATATAATTTAATAATTTAATAATAAAATTAAAAGAATAAATAATAAAATATAAATAATATATAATATATAAAAGCTTAATTAATTAAATATTAAAAAGGAATTATTTTCTAGAACTACAAAAAAACTAGCTTTTTTATATAATTCCTGCAAGTTATATATAAAAGGCTATAGTTTTTATTATATAATTAAAACTTTAAAACTACTAAAATAATATAATTTTTTAGAAAATACGGTTTATTATACTATAATATATATAATATAGCTATTTTATTAATGAAATATATTTGAAATATATTAGAAATATTTAAAAAGCTAGCTTTTTTAAAACTAGTATATTATAGAATATATATATTTCCTTATAGCCTTTTATATTCTAGTTTTCTCTTTTTTAGCTTTGAATTATTTTTATAAAAAACCTTTTACCTTATTTTCTAAGCCCTAAATATTATACCTATAATAGTATTTAAAGTTTATTTTCTTTAATTTTATAGAGAATTTTAAATAAACTAATTTAGAAATATAAGTATTATTAAGATAATAGAATCTCAGAAATATAAATAATAAACTCTAGAATAATAAAAGTAAAAAGCTTTAAAATTCTTAAAAGAACTAGATATTTATGTTTTTATAAATATATATTAGTAATATATTAGAAATCTTTCTAAAAACCCGAAAATTAAAGAATTTTAAATAAAGGCTATTCTTTAATTAAGTTCTAGAATAATAGATATTTATAAACTAGTAATTTAACTATTATTTTCAAGTTCTATTTTATAACCTTATAGGCCCTATATATATATTAATAATAAGATTATAAGAGAAAATATAATAAAATAATTTTCTAGAATATTATATAATTCGAAATAATATTAATTTCTTCTAAGGCTTCTATTAATTCAGATTATTCTATTAATAGCTTTTTTTTAAATTAAATATTCTATTAATATTTCTAATTTTTTTTTAAATAAATTTATAAAGAAAAAAACTTCTTTTTTTATTAAAAAGCTTCTATATACTAATTAGCTTATTATTACTAAAAAAAAATTATATAAATAGACTAAAAAAGCTAATTATTTACTTTCTAATATTAATTTAATTATTACTAGCTATTAAAAGAATCTTAAAAAAACTATTTTATATAAAACAAGCTATAAAAATATTAAGAGCCTTTTTAAAAATACTAAATTCTATAATATTAAGCTCGAGAATAATATTAAATACTATATAGCTATAATAGATCGGCTTATAAGAGCTTTAGCTATTTTTGCTTTATTTATTTCTATTATTTTTATAGTTTTAGCTATTTTGAACTTTTTTTTAAAAGAATTCTGAATTATTTTTTATTTATTTCTATCTAGAATTCTCTATATCTTATATTTCTTTTAGAGATACTAGAATTACTAAGTTCCTAAATTTAATTCTTTTTACTAGAGATTATACTATTTTTAATAACTAGCTAGTCTAAATTAAGAATAAGCTATAAAGAAATATTAATTTATATTTTTTTAAAAATCTTAAAATTATTTATATTTCTAGTAAATTTATTAATAATATTCTTGCTTTAACTAATTCTTATATAAATAAAAATAATTCGAATTAATACTATTAGCTTTTAGAATTATATTCTTATTTAAAAAAGCTATATTCTAATTTTAATAAAATAATCTTTAGTATAGTATCGTCTTTCCCGGGTTTGGCAGCCCCCGGATCGGGCAAGGCACGCATACGGGCCCGCCGCCGCTTTTGACATCTATAAAGACCGTATACTGCCCCCCTCTGCAACCATCCTCCTCTTCCATCCTTCCCTAATACTCCCCGTCGCTCGGCCGCTCGGTCTTGTTATGCGCCTACCTTCCCCCTACCTACCTACCGCTGCCGCCTCCTCCGTCGGCCTTGCCGCAGCTAAGGACCCTAGGCAATACGCGGTTTGAAGCCAGACTCCTCGATTCCCTCGATCTCCCACTCTATCTTCGATGCTTATTAGCATCTGCAATAGCGACCCACCCTCCGAATCAAGTCGTATTGGCCGAGATACAAGCCATGAGCTTGATCTCCATACCACCCTCCTACTTGCCGTCGCATTATTACGACCCTCAACCGCAGTGCTTGTCTGTGCCCTATAATAGCGGGCTCTATACGTTACGACCACCGCTAATCAGGAAAATGCCGTACGGCAATATGGCCTGCTACTGCCTAGCTATGCTACAGGATTAATGGCGTGTTCTGGCAATGGCAGCGCCTCAGTAAGCTCCCCTGACCCTAGTAGAGGCGAGGGATTTGCGTTTGTATACCCGGACTGGAGGCTGATCTGCGATAAGAAGGGCTAATCTCTGCGTACGTAGCAGGAGGAGATTTGGTGGTTAGGGTTCTCAGAAAGGCTCTAGTATCCTCCGGTCCGAAATCTCGAGCACCCCTTCTTTCTAATACCGTTATACGACCCTGCCCGTTAATGCAGCTGCAGCTGCAATTCGTATTCCCTTTATCCGATCTGGCTAATATAGAAATAGAGAGATGAGGGAGCCTATCCTAGGTCCGAAATAAGCAGGGCGGAGGAGCAGGAATTGCGGATCCCCTTACGATCTCTCAATTAGTAGCGACGCTTTGTCGGATATATGGGGTGGGATAAGCAGGCGGCAAAGTGCAAGCAGATCCGGAGCCTGCTAGCCTCGGGACTCTATAACATCCAGCCCTTATACTCCTGGCAGAATAAGTCGGATGCCTAGGGGCCTATATAAGGATCGTTTCCTTTGCTAGCTAGTACTAAGGAGTGTATTAGCCAATTGGTCTTCTTGGTCCAGGAAGGTTATATAGACTTAGCTTTATATGGGATGGGGGGTTAAATCCCATATAGCGTTAAATACTACCTTGCGGGCAAACTTCGCTAGCCCTGGCAAAGGTAAGGCGCATCTCGTAAAGTGCAGGGGAGTAGAGACTATAGGAAGGGGGGCAGGGGAAGGATTTTCATATGCTATGCCATGCCTTATAGTGCTTTGGGTAGCTAGGAAACAGGCTAGTAATAATGAGCATGGCAATTATAAGTAGCAAATAGGTACTAGAGGGCATAGTAGGAGAACAGGCCTATATCTTTGGTTTAGTATTACTTATAGGCCGGCTATTTAAATCTTCTATATTTCCTATTTCTTTAATAAGATTACAGGTTATGAAATTAGTAGTTTTGCCAGGACCCTAACTTCTTCTTGTCTTATCTACTTCAAATTCTTTTATAATAGCTATTATTAATTTGAGCCATATCTAATTTTGGTAGCCCCTTTTAAACCTAATATCCTTCAAATATTATACTTTACTATATATATATATAAGAATAGTAGATCTGGCTCAATAACTAGCTTATATAACTAGCTAGTATTACTATATAATAGAGCTAATAAAATACTCGGGTATAATAAGTAGCCCAAGTTTACTATTATACTAACTTAGTACCAGGGGCATAACTCTATATTTTAGTAGGAAAGTAATATGGTCGGAGCTTAAGATATAATAAGAGAGAATTCTAGGGATAAATATAGCTAATCTATTATATATATTTATAGGCTATTATAATAACCCTATTAACGGTAATAGTAAAGCAGATAATAGTTAGCCTTTAATTAATAAGCTCCTAGCTTTTTCGAGTAAAGGGATCTTAATAGTATATTAGAACTCTGAGAATATCCCCTAGTATCTTAAAAGGCCTGCTCTAAATATAAGTAGGAGCTATCTTAATCCGAACCCCAGACCAGATAATAATATAGGTAATAGCTAAGGTACTTAAGGTATATACCCTAGATCTCTATTACTATATATTAAGTAGCCTTCTAACCTATATATAGAGAGGCTAGTAGTTCTCAGAGATAATAAATTATATATTCCCGAACCTATACTCTTTACTATTTTCGTCTCGGTTAATACCGGTACTAATCCCGGCCCCGGGCTAAGTAAAGGGCTATAATAGGATATTAAAGAAGGGTACTATTTTAATAATAACCTTTATCTAATTCCTCTGTTTAAGCAGGAAGGTTTGGCTTTAATGCCCGTACTTGCCTAGCCTCACTCCTATTATAATTCCCCTGGGTTCTTATAGTACTAGATTAGCTAATATAATAATGACAAAATAGGAGGTATACCAGACAAGCCGGTACCCCCCACTCTACTCCAGCCATTGGGCGAGAGCAGTAGAGGAGGAAGTAATGAAAACGCCTCTGAGCTTGAAAGAGACATATAACTGGCTTTCGAGGAGCAGAAGAAGTTGTTATTGGCTCTGCTCCTGTTCCCGGCTCTCTATGCCCTCGCTATCCCTCTGCTGAGCCGCTGTACCCTTATACTAAGCAGGAACATAATCGAGGCAGGACTAGCTATGGCAGATTAGAGAAGCTCGGGCATGGCCCTCTATATTGCAGTCAGAACCGGGGGGAGGAGGCATAAGAGTAATAGTAGTAACAGGAGATAGCAGGAGAGCTGAGGAGGGAGGACAATAGTAGTAACTACAAGGAGCCGGGGGAATAGGGGGAGAAGCGGCAGCACCCGGACAAGACTGAGATTGGCAGCTATGGTATAGGCAATAAGGATAACAAGGATCTACGACCTGCTAAACGGCGGAGGCTTCCCTCGACTAATAACGCTCCGATACTACCCGATAAGCCGGCACCTGTAGGTAATAATAACCACCATCCTTTGCGAACCTCTTAGAGTCTCTCTATTACGGTGGAGTCGGTACTATTTGCGGAGTATCAGGAATGGCCCTTTCGAGGGTACCTAAAACGTACCAAGATTGGGGACAAGATAATATATAATCTCGAGTTCTAGCTGCCATATGTCCAGGAGTACAAGTACCTCTATTCCGAAGCATTGGGCATATATTCTAATAAGGAGACGGCCGCAGAGGCTGCAATCCCTTATAACGCCAGCGTACCTTCCAAGATACATCCCGCCGCAGTTTGTCCTCGGATAAAGCATGTTCCGTGAATACCTGAAGAGAATGCGACGGTGCTCAAGATAAGGGACAAGGATGGCTGCTCGTAGGAAGAAATCGTTAAAGTCCTCCCCTACCAGACCCCAGGGACGATCCAGCAGTACTACTATGCGATCCGAGCGGGTGCTGGCGAAGCCGATGTCTCGGGCGGCCAGCAGCAGAAGAGACGGCGAGGCCGGCCCCGGAAGCATGAGGTTTTCAGAGATGTTATGTGAAGTGGTGAGAAGTGATGGTTTTGTCGGTGGATATTACGGATTGACGGTTCGTAGTTGGAGACTGTAATATTGGGTGTTGGCAATGTGGTTTCATTTGAGCTTGCTTTCTCCTGCAGTTTGATTGTCAATCGGCCGAGGCTGGCGTTGGCGTGTAGCCCGAATGGAGAATCAGCCTTTGATACCAGTGCTCCGTGTCTGGTCGCTCATTGGTGATTGCTTACTGGGGTTGTAAGTGTTTACTGGATGGGTTTGTGGCCGACAGAATTGTGGCCGACAGCTCTCAGAATAGGATGGGGGTGGACTTCATTATATTCTAAGCCTTGTAGATATAATCCTCGCTTCTTGTTTGTTGGTCCATATTGAGAAGAGCACTTGTTCCGCCGTAAAGAAAACCTCAATAAAAAATAAATACAAGATCAAGTTTCCGAGACGAAGGAAGCTGTTCCAGTAACGAGTTGGAGTAAGTTAAGATGTAACAAGGGTGTCGTGGTACCAACTAGGAAGGTGGGCTGAGTGCTGCCTCAACCTCTTCTCGATTAATACTTCCAAACAATAACATTACTACTTCCCTTATATATAACAAGGCTCAATCTTCTACGTCTCGTTCTCGAGCTTCATTCTTCCATTATATGGTCAATCATGCCCTAGGAAATTATTCTTATTATCGAAGTGGTTATTAAGCATCCAAGGCTGTAAGCCTCGCTAGTCAGTTGTCTTTCCATTTCCATTCAGGACTAGCACCATTTCATGTAAAGCAAAAAGCAGGTCGGTGACTACTAGAAAATGAAGTTGATTTCCTCGGGAGGTGAATTTGAAGCCATCATGAGTTATGGCTCCCTTAGTCAGTAGCTTTATGCGCCTCACTATGGCTGAGACGCACAATGCCCTCATTAACCCAGCAGCCTTAGCTGAAACTATATTGCAAATCTGTTAGTTCTATCCTCCTTATAATCTTTATGGCTCTCGAGCTTTATATCCCGCCTTGTATTAGCAGTTCTGCTCACCCTCTCTATCCCCTACCACCGGAGCAGCCTCTGAGAATCCAGATCGAAGGTCCATTAGTATCCATCCAAAAACTTCTTCCGGAGATATTATGGCATACTAATGCCGTATCCCTAGTATTTCTGCAGCCGGCCGGCCCGGGGCTTGCAGGATTGGCATATCAGAAAATATATGGGCGGAAGTTCGTCTAGAGGTTACTGGTGATATGGTTATACGGGACAAGTACTTGGGCTGGGTGACAGGAGAAACACCACCATTGAGGCAAGCACGTATTTTGCATTTGTTGAGAATAGCCCTTTTGCTCTATGGCTGACTATTGCTCTAACTAGGCACATTGATACTACAGCGTCACATTCGACCACCTCGTCCCCGCCGACGATCCCGATCCAAAGGTATTATAGATTAATATTATTGAGATAGATAACGATGGGGGAGTATATGCAAACGAGTACTTACCATTTCCAGTAGATCCGGTAGAATATATAGGGAAGAAGGTACTAGCCGTGCCAAGATGCTATCAGAAGAGGAAGGGGATACAAGATTGTGAAAGGGTGAATGGCTCGGTGGCTGAGAGGGATAGAGAAATGAAAGAGACCTAATGCTAGCAAGGAGGAAAAATTGGAAATACTACTGCCTTTTATAGTATCCTGGCTGATACCAACTCTTATTACTTCAGCAGACCCTATCCTACTGCTTGTTAGTCTAATCTTTATGCTTTTCTGCCCAAGCAAGCCGTGGCTTCAAATTGGCTTCAAAATTGGAGTCTTCTTTCTTCTTATAGCCCTGCAATATCCTTCCTTCTTAAAAGCTGTACGGACTGCCTTTTCAGTACAGCTCCAACCTAGCTATTTAGGGAGCTCTTTTATAGGAATGTTGCGTGAGAGGGCATTGAATGTAGCCCAGTTGATTAGATGCTGGCGTTAAGGAGTATTAAGGAAGGGTTTGCGGCTACAGCGTTGCTTCTGAGATGTGGGTCGATATTGTAAGGCGTAGTCAACTTGCCTGCGGGTAAAACGAGGGCTCTGGAGAAGTATATCTCCAACTGTCCAGCCTGCTGTATAATAGAGGGTCTGTATATATAAACGGTCATCTCTTGTAGTCTGTTTGGTTGGTGTCTTTGGTATAGGTACCCTTATAAAAGCTTCAATTGCTATAATACTAGGAAAGAGAAATAGGAAGAGAAAGCTCGCCTTTAAAAGCAGCGAATCACCTGTTTTTTTCACCTGAGAACAGCTGTTTTAATTGGTCAGACCACCCTGCAATTCTAGCTGGTTTGCCGATGAAACCCCTGCAATGGGCTGACAATTAACATTTAAAACCACTTGTACGAAGTATACAAGAGATGCGCAAGCATAACGTAATCTTCGGAGCGGAGATACATTTATCCTCCCAGCGCTAAACTCTTCTTGGATAATGGCCTGAGTGCCTGAGGTAATCTCTGAGGTAAACAGCCTCTAGGCTTCTACATCCCTTCAACAAAGGCATCTCTTTGGTCCTCAACTGGCCTCCTTATTCCCCAGATTTGAATCCTATTGAGCGTATTTGGTGGCACCTCAAATGTCTTATACGTGAGATATTCCCGGAGGTTTCTGTAGACAAATCCGAGATAGAACATGCGAGGCAGCAGCTGGAGTCTTGTTTGCAAGCTGCGTAGGACTGTTTAGACAAGTTGCTGTTTGACGTTTTGTATGAGAGAAGCTTATATCGCAGCTGATGGGTGGCACACAAAATACTGAAGCGAAAGATTTTGCGTTTCGCACAAAAAGTGGGTCATTTGGACGGAGATCACGAGGAGAATTATAGGATAAATGATTATGGAGTTATTAATAAAAGAATGGAAGTGGGAAAATGGTCATTTTCCTGCGGGGTGGTTTCGCCTAAACAGAAGTGGCCAAGTACTGTACGCCCATCCTAGAATCGATCTTGACTTCTCAAGATATCTTCCGTCGAGATAGATCTGCTCGCTAGCTCGACTTCCACAACCTTGGTAATTTTATTCCAAACGTCTCCTCCGCCGCTTTTGTTGGGTGGGGATGCCATGTATCCGCTGTATTTATTGCCAGAAATGGAACGATGAGTGTGGCTATCGGGATATATCATTCGGTGGATAGCTGTGAAGCAAGGCCGCATTACCACTAGACTAGCGGCGATAACGGCGATGCTATTCTCAAGACGGGTTGCAAGTAAACTGCTAGTTATAGTCCCTGAGTCGAAGTTAGACATATAATCGGACCTAATGTAATGTAGTTTACTTACAAGTGAAGTCGGCCGCTGAAGCGGCAGCGGAAGTGAGGGTAAACATCCTGATCACGCTTGCGGCGGTGTCAATCAGACCTAGCAAGATCAAACCCAGTAGCTGAGTGATCTTAGTTTTGCGATGCTTGAGCTTGACAAGGACTGGAAGAGGCATTGATATGACGAGTAAACTGGTCGTAATATTAACGGCACCCGTAAAGTAAAAGAAGATATACTTGTTGATACAAGTGCCTGGTTTGTGGCGATGCCATGACTTGTCAACTGGCGTGCATTCGAATATTACAATTAAAAAAGTGGCACTGTAATATCCAACGATGAGGATTGTTAAGAAGTAGTTTAGGCCACGACAGAATCGAATTAATGCGGTGCTGGTCGTCTGAAATAGTCGTCGATATATAAAGATGAGAGATAGCTTGGTGAACATCATAGTGGGCTTGGATAAAAGCTGATCGAGCCAGAAGTACTGCCAGGAATTCAATCACGCACGAGACGGAAATGGACATATAAGCTTACCAGCAAACCCTGTGGGGCATTTCTGATGTTTGCGGAGAGATCTGCCTCGTGTTTTCCAAATCCCCAGTAGACAGCAGCTTCGGCACACGTATTAATGCTCACCACATCATTACAAAAGATATGAGCACGCGTACTTACCAATAATGACTACAATCGAGTGCCCAAGGTTTAGTATCTATAAGTGCAATCAGCCATCTATCTGGTAAACTCCCCAATCGTGCAGCGAGGCTTGAGGACCCTTACCATTGCAAGAGTTATACATATATCTGAGATGGATACCGTTCTCGTGGATATACGGTACCCAACGCGAAGCATCACAATAAGTGACGGGATAATTGCGCATACGATGCCAATTCCAATGAGACTTGAGCTTCTGTCTGCGCCAGTCCCAGCAGGAGAGGTGAGTGTGTCTGACATAATGGTCGGTATTTATTAAGAAAGCCGGAAGCTGCTTCGGCAGAGATGGTTGTCAACGACTGTTCAACCCCAAACCAAAAAATGCGCCTTGGGAGGTGGGGAGGAAGAGACTGCGGTAGAGACTGTGCCATTATGTATTCTGCAAATTCTCTATAGAATCCGTGGCTTGGTTCCGTTATCCACTCAAGCTAAGGTGCATATTGCCGTCCCAGAACGTGCCGTGTCATCGAGATGCGCCTTGGAACTGTGAACATTACTCTCAGGACTCCGGAGGAAACTCGAAACCTCAATCACGATGTGTTGCAGAAGGGTTGCACGTCCAAAAAGCCACGGTTTCGAGAAATTAGACTAAGCGAGAAACTATTGAGTATCCGAATGCAGGTTGAAAGAGAAGCGGAATTCTCCGTAGCAGGGACTACTAGTATCCGCCGCGCAATGGATTCGTAGTGATGTGCCCTTGCATGGATGGAAGATAAGCTAGAATTTATTGATTGTAGGGAAAAAATGACGAGCGGATTGGATAGAAAACGCGGCGATCGAAGTCGATGCTTGCAGTAGGCCAACTGTTGGTTATGCAAGCGGTATCTTCCGGTTCCGATAAATGGCAGGCCAATGATGAATAGTACAATAGAGGAGGCCTGCGGGACGATAAGTCCTAAAGAACCCGTCATCATGGGTTTGACATTTTGATCTTTAACGCATGTGATATGCCACGCTTATTTCGGCCAGCCGTTTAATCGGAGCTATCGCTCTGGCTGTGCTCGATCGGAAGTTGTTCCGGGATAATTAGCGAGCAACCAACCGTGGCACTGAAACGCCCCTTCTCAACCCGCTTTGACCGTTTATGAGCCCGTCCGCTTGGGGGAAGGAACCGTTGCATATAGCGTGGTGTCAGCTCATTTTCTACCTCTCACTTCCGTTCCCAGATTCATTCATCGCCCCATTCATTACATTAAAGCACTGCCCAATTATTCTCCAGAAACACGAGATGCGGTACATACGCACGTTCGTTTTACATACCTGCATGCCGGCAAACACTCTTCCTCTCTCCAAGAGTACTTGATGCCAAGTTTGGTCCATCCTAAACAATCTACCCACTACCTGCTGGGCCGAGGCTGAGCCGTGCCGTCCCGTGCCCACTGCCCTTGACCTGACAGTTAGTAGCTATCTTCGGCGCTGCGGAACGTGCGGCCAGGGGCCCTATTGGCACAGTGGGAACTTGAGGCTGCTCGGGCCAGTTGAAGATGATGCATCCGCACAGATGACCTGACGGCACTCCCCGCCGGTCAGGAATAATGATGGGCAAAAATATTCTTGGTACTCGCTGAGCAGAGTCCATATAGGCCGCTATCACTCATCCCATTCCAGCATGCATAAAATTGCCCCTTGTACACACATATCCGTCTCAAGCAGGGCAATTTTGACCAAAGCAAATTACCAATCTTGCCTCTGGTGCTCCAACTCCCCAAGATCTCGATTCTCCTGAAGCCTTCAGAATTGAATCGTCTTTCAGGCATACACCACGACCCCGCGGACAATATCGATGCAATCCATCGAAGCATTCTACATATGCAAGGCCTAATCATCACGGACATTGAGCAAACTGTCTTATAAAGTCGAGTAGTAACTTTGCCTTTTTCTAATTTTGGTTTACTATCCATCAACATAAGATCTACTTTTTTGAGATATCCAAATATAGCCTAAAACATCTTTCTAATTCCTCTTTTATAAGTAGACACTAGTGGATATTGTGGACGGAACCTCCCTTATGATCTGACGATACGGCTTTTAGAAGTCTCCGTCTGTTTTAAATATATATAATTTATTTACTGGTAAACGGCTTCTACACTGGGCGTTGGGGGGATCTCTGCGGCGATGATTGCGCCTCGTAAATAAGCACCCTATTAGCTCATAAAGATTTGCCCAAATCAACGGATTTGGCGGCGTAGGTTCCACAGTCCTAACGTTGCTATGCACGCTAGACACGGCGGGTGCGACGCACGGGCGACCGGGATAGCTTCCCCACGCAAAATAACCTAAAATAGCATAATCGGACGCCGGCAGGCGGGGGGTAGCCCCGTGTACCCCATCGCTAAAACCCCTGGACGGCGACAACGAGGACCCCGAGGACCCCGAGGACCCCGTAAAACCCCGTACGGCGCCCTGCTCGCCTCCTTCTTGGCCCTGATAAGGTCCTACGGCGCTGTATGTGCAGTGCCTTTCTGGTAAAAAAAAGTGTGCACAGACCCAACTCTAAAATTTCAACCAATCGCACCTCCGCACTTCCGCTTTTCACCGAAACTGGACAGCAATTTCGCGTCAGAGCATTTTTCACCGAAAAAGCAGAGCAGCATAAGGAGTGGCGGTTCGGGATTTTCGCTATAATCTCCGAATCCTGGCTGCTAATTGGTTACCGAACCCACGTCATCCCGAACCCCTCCTTCTTTAATAATCCACTACCGTAAGACGAGAGATCTTCTTTCCTCTTTCACCTTGATCAAGAACAAAAGAAGGTAAGTGGCTTGATATACAAGATATTGCGGAGCAAGGGAGCTCGTTATCCGTAGTCGACAAGCCTTTAATCTTGGACCCCTAAGATATCAAACGAAAAGGACGCGTTCAACGAGGCGCGTTCGTGTTCTATTAATCATGTAGGTCTTTCTAGTTCCTCCTACCTTGGTTTCAGCGTTTTCTCCCTCTTGTATTCTCTCGCATTCGCATCTTATTTGGTATTTTCTTGCTAGCTTTAGGACAAGTGAACCAACTTCTCCCCAAGCTATGACGTCAAATATAGAAATTGACTCGGTCCTCTGGGCACAAGAAGAAGCTGAGGATCAACGCTTGCTTGCAGAGTCTCGTCGCATCCAGCAGGGGAAACACCAGTACTCGTGTGTTAAAGACAATGAGACGACACCTTGGCTCAAGCACACAAAGTGGCCAGTTCTGTTTCAGGAACGACCTCTTGATATCTTGACAGCCTCGACTTTGCAGCCGGCAGCACGATGTAGCGACGACTACTACCTTGGACGCTGGTCAGGCACTCCCTTTACTAGTCCCGCAGCGAATGAAGCTAAGCTCCGGGTGTTAATGCGTGGTGTTGATCAAATGTTCGTTTGTGCAGAAGAGACGCTCAGGCATACCAACTACCGCCTACGGTGCTGGCTCCAGACCTACCATCAGCGCCATTTTCGACCTATAGCCTTTGACAATGTCCAAACCACCCGGAGTCGAATTGGCTACATCTCGATATGGAAGCATTTCATCTGCTATATTTTCCGGGATGGGCAACAGATGAGCGCTTGCGGGAAGAGATCTATGGTGTGAACTTTCGGGAATTAGAAGCAGGACAAATGGAATATATCTGGTCGACCTTGCTCGAGGATATGGTTGCAGGTCAGTCCAGGGTTGAGACTTTGGGAAATTCTGGGTGGGACGTGTTATCAGAGAGCGAATTTGGGCCAGGCAGTGAAGGAGGGTCAGACAGCGAGGTGGACTCAGACGATGAAGGGAACTTGGACTCCGTAGAAGAGTCGGATATTGAAGAGGAGTCGGATGAGGAGTGGGGAAGGGAATCGAATGAGACGTTACCTAAGCACAACCGCGAGTGGATGAACGCGTGCCAAGAACCTATATCAAAGGTTACTCTACCGATAGGGCAAGACCTTCAGCTCTCAGAAGCGTTATTCCAACTATCGATGATCTTCTGGACCTTTCAGTGCAGGACTGGCAATATGGCAGCGTCTCTGCTAGTACATTTCACGGCTGTCCGCGGTATTCACAGGCACTCGCTCGCGTACAAGTCTGCGCATAATTACACTCCAGATCTCTCAAAACTAGTCTGGATCGGCCGGCTCTTGTTCCTCGAGTACGCCTTGCCTATGCACCCGTACAAGACGCTTCGCTTCCCTTGGCCCGCTCGGGATACCTACCCAGACCAAGCTTCTCGGCTCAATGAGATTCGCGTCAAGTACCTACTCCGAGGAGGCTTCTCTCCAATGAGTGAGATCATCGAACTGAAGGCCTTTGGCAGGTCGATTGTTAAGAAGGAAGGTGCTCGGACGAACTTGACTTGGGCTGCAGATGGCCAATCCTTTACAATTGGCAGCTCGAATCAGGTCCGGCTCCTAGACTTTACCTATATGCATCAGGTATCAGTTATAAAAGTTGAGGAACGGGTTAGCCATCTTATGCTTGGTTGGCAACCAGCGGTAGATCTTCGTACTGTCCGGGACGATTTTACCTGTCGAGCTCCAGGGTGGTCCTTTTTGCAAGAGGAGCAGAACGGCCTCCGATTTGCATACAAAGCACTATTACATCGGACGTGGTCATCAGCTTATCTCGGCCAACCTTTTGCCAAAGCGGGACGCTGGCTAGTACAGACGTGCTCTGCATACTTTGAATCGGAGTCTGAATTAAGGAGTGAGATATTTGCAGCAATCCATCTTACAGCCGGCTTGCCCGCACGAGGGCCTGAAATTACGAGCATCAAGGTATGCAATACGGCGCAAGTAATGCGTAACCTCATTTTCCGTGAAGGACGACTCTTACTCGTTATTGAATACAATAAAGCCCGAGCTTCGAACTATCATGCTTTCTATATTGTACGATATCTCCCTCAAAGGCTTGCTGAGCTCGTATACCTATACCTGGTTTATATCAGGCCCTTTATAAGCATCCTTGCAAGCCAACTTCGCTTCTCTTACTTGCATGCAAACGAGTTCCTCTTCCCAGACCCACGCCACAAGCAGAAGCACCTATCTCCGGCTCAGGCAACCGATATCCTTAAACGCTTGACTATGCGCTTCCCAGCACCGATAAGTCTTTCGCTCTACCGCCAATCAGCTCTCGCAATTGCAAAGCGCTACATTAGAGAGCTTATCCAACGAGCCGATTTCTACAAGCCGAAAGCTGCTTCGGACCCAACCAAGATGATTGCAGCAGGTGTCGGCCACCATCCCCGAGTCCTGCTAACGGAATATGCTATTGATAGCGCCTTACCTGTACAGCTACAGCCTGAGTTACTGGAGATGTACCTCCAGCTATCAACCTTGTGGCAAGACTGGAACCGGCAGTACTATGAAGACCATCGCAACCTTTGGACCACGGCTGCGGTGACCCCGGCCACAGGAGCCGCTATCAAGTCGGAGAGTAGGGGCTTAAAACGGGGTTTACCGGCTGATTCTCTTCCTGTATCAAGCCTCAATAAGAGGCAAGCTCCCTTGATAGCAGCGCCTAGAGCTTCTCTAGACATGGATGGATTTCGCTATGACGCTCAATACAAGATTCTAATCTGTATTTCTTGTGAGTCAGCGTTCAAACAGCGCAAACTGCATGGTACCGACACTTGAATACTACTCATCGGATTCTTGGCCCTGCGTGCAAGACGCTTATCGAGTGTTTTGTGACATATGACCTATGTCCAGCCAAGGACCTTGTTACTCCTATACATCGAGTCCCAGCAGTACTAGGATTACGAGTTCTAGCTGGATTCTGTTGTCGTGTTTGCCCACCATTCGAACGAGCTTTTATGACAACGTATGAGCATGCAATAAAGCAGCATATGTCTTCTGTACACTACCTCAAACCATTGCAGGCTAAGCGGAGTAGACAATATACAAGCTGCCTTCTTCAGACTTTCTTTTACGGGCATGGACGGATCCAGTACTTTGAAGGCGAGAAGTAATAATGTATCTTAGCTTACTCTATCCTCATTTAGTGTTTAATAATTATACTTGGACACACTTTCAATCATGCATATGCTAATACTACCACGCTGACGGGATTTCCATATCACCTACTGGAATAAGGGTTGGCCGTTTTGCCGTCGGTTATGACATAACCCAGAGATGGGGGCCCGTGCACGCGCGAGGGACGCGTTAGAAACCGCGTGGGTTATGTAGTAGAAAACCATTTTGCCATCCATCTAGGAATACTATTCATAAATTGGCTCGATTCAGCAACGAGATAGGAGCGGCAGCAGTGTCGCCGATGATTATGTGTATAAAGAAGGCTTAAATGGGAGACAGCAACACCTCGACGGTATCAGTGTGAGAAATGAATAGATTAGATTAGATTAATGGCCATTAATCTAATCTATTCATGAAAAATACCCATTAATCATATTCTATTCACGCATTAATCAGATTAATCATGAATATTCATGAATAATTTGATTAATGCGCACGTGACACATGCACGTGATTAGCTAACCTAATTAGGTAGCGCTCCGGGCACTCCAGCCCTAGCGCCACCTTGCCACCCAATCAGAGGGTGGCAACACTTGGTAAGCGAGCCGAACCCCAATAATACTTCTAGAACCACCTCGACTTAAGTACTTAGTAATAATAGCAATTCTATTAGTAAAAATTAGATATTAAAGTACTAGAATCTTCGAAGTAAGGCGATTCTTTCTAATTAGTCTACCCTCTCCGCAGACACGATGTGGGTCTGTAATCCCCGGGAATAGGAATTACGATATAGCCAGCTCAATAGGATTGAGTTCTCTTCGCAGGTCAAGATTCCTTGACGGGGTTCAAAATGGAGACCTTATACATGCTGAACATTAAAGGCACAACATGTGGCCCTTGCCACGAGAAGCGTAAGTGGAGTGATTATTATCCTTATCTTGCCCCGTGTGTTTTGGACCAGTTCCCTGCGAGTTGAAAGCCATATTTGGTGCATGTTTAGAGTGAAAATAGGATGAGAATAGCTGAACACTGCAAAGGCAACATATATTAATAATGATAAAGAAACTCTGTCCGCCCAGATTAGTGTGTCAAAAAAGTAATCAAGGTATTCCGAATATTCATGAATATTCATGATTAGCTTAAATAGTGTGAGGCACGTAATAGCAGGGTGATGCACAAGTAGTCAAGGTAAGTAAGCTGCGGAGTGACGCTTGCAAGTGTAACTGATTCCAAGAGTTGATTCCAACAAAAGACTAATTGATGCCCCTTTCCAAAGCTAGGAGCGTCTCCCTATATGTTCCCTAGTGCTTAGCCAAGCCTGCGAAGCACTTTACTTAACTAGGAAACACGATCCCATGCGATCCGTACGATTCCGATCGCCCGTACGATTCCGATCGCAAGCTTTACCTAAAATAGGAAACTAGATCCACGACATCTGACACCTGTCCATGCGCCGTCACGTGTGCCCATCACAAATAGAATATAATTACCGCAATGCTTAAATAATTTGATTAGATTAGAATATATAATCATGAATATTCATGAATACTTTAATTACTCTACACGTGACTATAACACGTGATACGCTAGCCTAATTAAGTAGAGATCCCGCTCTAGTATCGCCTAAGCGCCACCTCGCTGCCTAATTAGTGGGTCGAAAGCCTTGCAAAGACGATGCTAGATCGGGAGTCATACCTAATTAGGTTAGTATATCACGTGCGACAGTCACGTGTATAGTAATCAAAGTATTCATGAATATTCATGATTACCTCAATTAGAATCTGATTAGAATATAATTAGTGGGTATTTTTAATGAATAAATTAGATTACTAGCCAGTATTCTAATCTAATCTATTCATTTGACACACTGGCCCAGATTGGTCTCTAACTAACCTAGTAGCTATTGTGCTCCAACTACTCTCCTTCCATGGTACATATTAATGGAAAACAACTTTCTAGATCCCTTAGATAGCCTTATTAATATCGTTGGCGAGTTAATAGATTTTATCGGAGGAAGGCGTACAAGTGCCCGCATCAGGGCAACCTTGGGTTCTAGTCTGATGGCGGCGTGTTGCAGGCCGTGGCGCCGCAGTTCCTGTTAATCGTGTCCCCATCTCGGTAAGTTGGTACACAAGAACCCTTATTCAGGCAAGGTGAGGGGTTTCGAGTTCCCTTGACATAACCGCAGCTATAGTAGTCGGTGTATAAGGTGCATATCTTCTAAATCTTCGTTAGAGGAACTGCGTACTCTAATCCATTATTCAGAGAAGGTTCAGCTGCGGTAACTCACAGTGTTTAGTCACGCTTTTGAGTTATCCCTGATTTGAGAGTTAGGATTTTTTTAGGCTTTTAATAAAGAGGTAGGATACTCACAGCAAAAATAGATCAAGAAAGCTGAATAGGCAGGTGTTTGGATGAGCGAGGGCTCTAAAAGGATCCCAGGGTGATTCTTATCTTCTGTCGAAATGAGGCTCTCAAATCCTCCAAGAGACCCTATGCCTTTCACATGTTTCTTCCTTGGCTGCGAGCTAATGGTGGTCGCGTATTCGAGCCGCATGCTACCCTGAAAAGACTTGTAGTATGCGGGTGCAACGCTATCTGACTCATTCAATTCTCTCCTAAAAAAGGATCACCCTTAGACCAGGGCTAGGAAGACCAGCAGCGTCCTACCATAACATTATTCACGGAATTGATTGGTAGTAATACACTATGCAATATAAGAAATGTGGGCCAACGCCCCGCGTCGATACCAGGCGTTTACCGTGCATGGCGATGTATCCTGTCTGATCCAATCGTAATGACAACAAAACCTCAGAGTTCTGATTTAATCTTGGCACGCCTTACTTTACTCCGTGGTTCGAGCCGCACTTTACACCAAAAAGGGAAGAAGGATGAACCAACCCCTCCTAAAAAGGCAGCCTCTGCCCAGCTGACGTATAGGAACCGTCAAATGGAGAGATGCCGGCCAGGTCTTCTTGCGAGATCAAGAGCGGAGAATTTTCAAGAGCAGGGTGAATGACTCTCGACACCAGTGCTCGTTGGATGAAGCAATCTCGAAGTTGTAGCTCAGGCATCTGACCATTGCGAGTTGCACTCACCTGCCCTTCAGCCTCTTCCTTGGTTTCCTCATCGGTGTGCGCCTTGGGCCCTTGACCGACTAAGTGACTCAATTTGGCATACATTGCGATGCATGGTCGGCTCTAGACACTGAACCTTCTTTCCCTCCTCTTTAGTACCCTTCTTGTATGTAAGGAATACCAATTGCTTGAAGAGCCTTGCGAACCCGCGACATCATACAATACATCTTAGCTTACGAGCGCGCGGGATGGTTGCTATCTGGTGGATCTTTAAAACTAAGTGGCTACAAGTAGAGGAGTAACCGTGAAGCTTCGAGAATATCCTAGGCTAAGTAATTAACCGTCTCGGAATTCACTCAACTAGTATACAAAGTTCACCTCCCCTAATCCCCCCTTTATCAAAGTTATTAAATAATACAAAATATAAAGAAACAGCCTTTAAAGCCTATGGAAACCTTCTGCCCCAGCTATTCTTGCAAACAACTTCTACTATGACTTGGAATTAAGTTGTTGTAACAAGTAAGAAAGTGTGTTCTCTGATGGTAGCCGACTTAGGTGTGTCTCTGTGAGCGTCCTCTCTTCGATATTCACAACGTGCTCAAGCAGTATGACGGCCTCCTTGGCCTACCTATTCGTCCGATATTATAATAGCGAGGTTGCGCTGCGAGACGAGCCATTGAGGGTGATCCGGGGCTAGCGTTATCTTACAGATCTCGACTACCTGCTTAAGTAACTCGACGGCCTCCTTTACCTGCCCATTCGCGTAGTACGCAACTGCGAGAGCGTCCTCTGATGCTAACTGATCGGGGTGATCCGGAGTTAGCGTTAGCTCTTGGAGTTTAACTACGTGCTCGAGTAGCTCGATGGCCTCCTTACCCTGCCCATTCTCCCGATACGCTATAGCGAGAGCGCACTGCGAGATGAGCCGATCTGGGTGATCCTCGGCTAGTGCTGTCTCTCGGATCTCGATAATATGCTCGAGCAGCTTGACCGCCTTCTTAATATGCCTGTTTGTCCGATATGCAAGAGCGAGATTGTACTACGAGGTGAGCTAGTCCGGGTAATCTTGAGCTAGCGTCATTTTTTGGACTTCGACTATATGCTCGAGTAGCTTGACAGCCTCCCTTACTTGCCCATTATTACTATACGCAAGAGCGAGCATTTCTTGCAAGCCGAGCCGATCCGGGTGATCCTTAACTAGCGTCAGCTCTCGGATCTTGACAATATGCTTGAGTAGTGTAATAGCTTTCTTTGCCTGCTCATTCTCCCGATAGGCTATAGCAAGTGCATACTGCGACTCGAGCCGATCTGGGTGATCCTCGGCAAGTGCCTTCTCTCAGATCTTGACGATCTGCTCGAGTAGCTTAACAGCCTTCTTATTGTTTCCGATATTTAACAAGCTCCTTGCATAGAGGAAATATAGTAGTAGAAACTCTTTTAATACTTTATCGGGCTTCATTCTAAGTTCGGTAAACATATCTTCCAGAAGATAGCAAAGCCTTGAGTCCTGTCGTATATGTAGTAATGTCCAGCCACATCTGAAAAGAATTGGGATGACTAGAGTTTCTAATCCAAATGAGAGTACCCTTCTAATCTTTATATCCAGGTAAGATTATATATATAGTAATAGGTGCCTCTCTTGAGTCTGCCACATTACAGAGTTAGATCGAGACAGTATAAGAATACAGCCAGTAGCTATCCAAGCCATGCCTTGCTGTTTCTGGTCTTGACGGTCTTTGGCCCAGGCGTATGCTAATGGGTATATCGATAATCCTACTGAACTGTCTAAATCGTACTGCGTAACCAAGGAGAGTGAAACTAGTTTAGAGCTGGCCTTAATAAGACGAAAAGGATCCCATTTGTTACCTTCTACTACTAGAAAGCTAGGTAATCGCGAAACGTGGCTTCGAGATATAGAATCTATTGCACTTATCTCTTGATCGCTAGTATGGAGGACTTCTCTGCTACTACCCCATATGCTTTGAAAGATTTGAAGGGGAAGAATAGCGGAATCCAGTATTGATATAATTGCAAGTAAATATAAAGCATCTTTTGTAGCTTCGCTTTCAGACTGCTCTAATACCTCTGCAGATGCTTCGAAGGTCGTATAGATATCGCAGTACCTTAATTGAACCTGGTCAGGCTTGTACTTTAGGAGCCGGTCCCGGTGCCGTTGGTAGACCATAGGGTATTATTGCAGTTAATAGTGGCCTTTCGCAATATATATGCTAGCTTGGATTAGTGCAAGCGTATGCAATCCTAGAAGTTGGAAAACTTCTTTGGCTTGACTCTTATAAGATAGCCACGATTCTCTAGGGATATCTGCCGCTTTGAGTAGTAGTTCTGTAGATTCCTCCTTTTTAAGACCCTCGAGTACTTCATTCGCGTCTGGGCTATACCGCTTGTATTCAGAAATACGAGATGTCATAAGAATCGTACCGTGAGTTCCGGATGGAAAGTAGGCTTGATAGTCGAAGTTCGGATCATTGGCGTTATCAAGAATAAGGAGCCAGCTTTGCTTGGTAGTTGCGAGAACTTGAAGAGTATCAGGAACGCTCTCGACCGACCGCCCAAGTAGCTTTGCAATGGCGATAAAGTCGCCTTCAGTAGTAGAGGGCTTGCTGATGTCGACCCAGAAGACCCCCCAGAACCTTTAATTATTAGCCAAAATGATACAGGCGGTGTTAGAGGCATAATTAGAATACTCTTCCCGCATCAGACTAGTAATTTTGAGACAGATTGTACTCTTCCCTTATCCATCTAGTCCGGTAATAACAAATCTCTTTTGCTTGTCGGCGGAACAAGCATAGTCATTACGCAAAGCCTTCTGTATTCGAAATAGGAGCTCGGTACGTCCGGTGAATAATTTGTTAATCGGACGAGGCACTATCCAGTGCATGTTTCCATAGCTCAAAGCACTAGTTCCTAGAGCAAGGGCATTAGCTGTCTGTAATCTCTATAATATAATTTCATTTACTTGCCCTGATAACGAGCAGCTACAGCAGCCAAAGCTCCGCCTTCAACCATTCGTCGAATTTCAGGGAGCAATAGCGCAAAGTTCGGGTCATCCTCTCCACTAAACTTGTTCAGTCCAGAATGGTCGGTATTAAGGAACATCATCCGCTTTCCAACCATACTGGCCGACTGCGAGCCCACGACCTATGCGACAATTAGATAAAACGGCCTTGCAGAGTGGAGTATAAACAAACTTGTGCTTTTAAAGGTCCATAATCAGTCTCCAGTATCTCGTAGAAACAAACAATATCCAAATCGCCATAGCTGCCCCAGAAGTCTATCGCTAGTGCATATAGATCCGAATTACCTTTCTCTAACAACTTCAACATTATTGGATCAAGACCTGAAAGCCGGGCTAGCCACTTCCCAAAAATAGCTACATTGCTCCCTTGGAAGGGGGTGCCGAGAAAGATAATGCCTGCTACCGAGAGGCGTAGGTCCGTAAAATGTTGCTGATGGACAGCATTCACAAGTGCCTTCAATGCTGAGCGGATGGATTGTATCTATAACTTGAAAAGGGTATACCTGCTGGATAACTAGGCTCCCAAGACTATGTCCAATAAGCATAATCGGTCTCTGGCGCTCCTAATAATATAATTTAGTAATATATTAGCTAGTCCAGCTCATGTAGAGACCAATTACATTTGCCTTCTGTCTGTACTGAGACACGATATTCAAAAACTGATTAGCGCACTCGTGCAGGCTAGTCTTGACGTTTGGATGTCGCCAGTCCGACTCGTAGCTATAGGTAGCGATCCGTGCATCCTCGCCCAGAGGTACAAGCAGGTCCCGTGGCCACATAACCTCTGTTGAGCCTCCGTCCCCGCCTTTGCCTCGTGGCTTCTTGCCCTTCCAAAACTGAGCCTTGTCCCGGAATCTCTCAGGTCTATCGACATCTGTGGATGATACTTTCTTCACCCATGTATAAAACGGATGCGCGCCTAGACCTTGGACCGCGATAATGCTAAGTGGGGTCAGCGGGGTTTAACTTCGGAGGCAGCTTAGCTCACTCGACTACGGGCGTCGGCCCATCCGCAGCCTCGCTCGACCAGATGTTCAGGCCGCTGGGTTTGACCGTCTCTTCGGTGCATGCCATTGCTGTGAACCGTGTCCTGTATCCGCTGAGCTAGGTTTATAGCGCCGTAACGGTCTGCCGCATAGCGAGGTCTGTGGGAGAAGTCGACAATGTTGCGCCTGACGTTGAGCCCAGCGGCTGTGTTCAGCCTTATCTTGCGCCACACTCGAATGTCTAACTGAGTTATATATATCTGTATATGGCCCGTGCGCAGCACGTGACATGCCCCCTCAAAAAGGAAAGGAAACGTCCCCGTTTGAGCCTAGCCCACGCCGTCCAAATGGGCTATTTGCCCCTTAATATAAACCGGGAAGGAACGAATAGAGCTCATTGTGAGAAGTGAGCTTATTAGAGGAAGGGAGCTCGTTATAAGAGCAAGAGTGAGTGGAAGGCAGCTCTTTATAAGAGCAGGTGTTAAGGGGCTCGTCGTGAGAGCAAAAGTAGGAGGAAGGGAACTCTTTGTAAGAGTAGGAGTTGAGGGCTGCTCTTCGTCTGCTTCGTCTTCGTCGGCGGAGGCAGAGGGGCTCGTTGTGAGAGCAGGAGAAAAGGATTATTCTTCGTCTTCTTTGTCTTTATCTTCTTTGTCCTTGTCTTCGTCTTCTTTATCCTTGTCTTCTTTATCTTCGTCTGTATTGTCTTCGTCGGTGGAGGCAGAGGGGCTTATTATAAGAGTAGGAGTAGGAGGAGCGAGAGCGGGAGCAGAATCTTGTAGCCAAATTTGGCGAATAAGTTGAGTGATTTACTAAAGTTGGATGTCTGAAAGCGGGGCGCCGTCTTGGAAGAATCATTGAGGGGTCTTAGACTGGGGGGTTTTAGATACCATTCTAGAGGATGGCGTGAATGTGGGTCGAGGACTTAATTAAGAGCTCGCAAGGTATCGATATGGAGGTCGAGATCTTGTGGGGTATTGATTTGGAGGTCGATTAATTATAGGATACTAAGTATTAATATGGAGGTCGAATCTTAGGGCATTACTACTATATTATGGCCTGGACAAGCTGTGGAAGTGGAATGTGGTGTATTTGGTATGTCTATAATAAATAATAGTACCTTAAAGGCGGGGAAGAAGCTATATATATATCTGTATATGGCCCGTACGTAGTATATAACAAATACCCAGAGCCATTTCCGACTATAACTCCTCTATTACTATATAACAATTCCTAAGGGATATATACTATTAGGTACTAGTATAACGGAACCGTATAAGTACTAGACCAGACCTACTCGCATTTCTGGTATTAATTTATAGAAAATCCATTCTTATATTATCTCGGTAAATATAGCTATCTATATAACTAAAGATAACAAGCAAAATGCCCTTCTATTTCCCTCCGAGTTTTGCAAAGGTTTACTAGTTAGTATTAGAAATATTAATTATAACTTCTTTATAGAGTTTACTAATTACTTTTGGGCAAATGGCTTGGAAAATACTTTGGGGCTTGAGGTAATATAAAGTTAGGCTAGGAAAATAATCGAATTTTCTTTCGATATTAGTAGTCTTTTACTTAAAGAGGAGGATATAAAGGCAGAGGTAAGAGGGCAGTTTGAGTCTCGAGAAACAGGATGGAATATTATAGTTAAGGATGAGACTATTAATAAGAATAAGTAGACCTAATATATTATCTTTATTACTAGCTATTTAAAGGCCACCAAAATCCAGAAGCAGGATATAACAGACGCTTTAAAGATCTTAAGAAATGAAGGTATTTTAGTATAGAGGATTCCTGACTTTATTATTTATTATCTTATATATTTGAGTATTAACTGAGTATGCCTTTTATTGAACTATCTCTATTATTAGAAGCTGTCTAAGCCAAATAAAGTCACCTATTAGTTTTTTATCTATTACTTCTATTAATATAAATACTTCTTTCTTGCTTTCATTTCAAAATACTAGACTAAACCTATTACATTTAATTAATTCTCTAAAATACTCTAATTTAATAGAGCCTACCGGTATATCCTTATATTACTTACTAGTATCCGGAGCAGTTCCAGTTATAAAGATCTCTTAACCGAATTATACTATAATGTTATCTAATACCCTTAATAGCCTTACTAAAATGAATACAGGCAATTCTGGCAACCTACCAAACCAAATTTCGCCCGGAATATTAATAGGCCGTTTGAGAACTATCTATTAAAAAGTATACTTCTCAAACTAAATTATTCCTTTAAAATATTAGCTAGTTATAAGTTTTCCGCTATGGCTTTATACTTACTTATAGCTGGAATATTACTATTATAATTTAAAAGAGTACTAATATAGCTAAAACCTGTTCTCTCAGGTCTCAAAATATCGGAAATTGACTTTCTTATTCTCTATTACTAATTTGTATTATAAATACTTATTGCATTTAATAAGATATTACTAAGCGGATCCCGTCCTCAATTATTAATAGATATCTAGAATAATAACTAGTAGAAGTTTATTACTAACCTAAAATTATTAAAAGTAGATATCTAATATTATATTAGGGCTTAAAGTAATTAGCCCTAAAAATCCCTTCTATAAGTCTTATATTATATTTTAGATCTATAAGCTCTTAATATATAATTACTTTTATAAACTACTAATAGAAGGCTCTTCTCAATATAAAATATCTAATAAGCTATAAGATCTCTAGTAAAGCTTTATAGCTATTACTTTCCGGATATAGTACCTTTTTTTTAATTTTGTTTTAGTTATCTAATTTATAACTGGCCTTAGTAAAGCTCTAAAATCAAGTATTTTATTTAATAGTAGATTATTTATATCTATATCTTGGATTTCTTCTATATACTTATAACTAAGTATTAATTATTTAGATCTATATATATTAGTATTACTAGCTATTATAGTAGGGTTTTTTCTCTCTTGTCCCGTAACTACCGTTACGTGTCCTGCTTCCCAGGCATACTAGTACTAGTTTAAGGAATTATATAAGACCTCTATCTATATATATAATTAGCTTTCCTAATATATTAACTTTCGGAGCCCCTTATTTTTAATTATTTGTATTATTTCATTACTAGTACTAAAAGTCCTAATATTATTACTTCTACTTATTTAGCTTCCTACCCTCTTTATCTCTATTCACGTATCTAATACCTATATATAGTCCGATATTCATATAATAATCAAATTCCTATTATATTACTAGTATAAATAAGAAGTTTATAACTCCTCTAATTTGAGATTACTAGCTAGATTAAAATTAAAAAGTAATAAGATATTAAAAAGATTTATAGAGTATTTATAGGATTTTATTACTCAGATTATTCTAGCCTTCTTTCTTATATTTATTAATTATACTAAGGTCTTAAAAGAACTAGATTACCTTACTAAATATATTTCCTTTAATTAGTATATACTTCTTTTAGCTTTTAAAGATTTAGAAACTTTTCTAATAATAGATAGTAGTACTTATATAAGGTTACTAGTTTACTTAGGAAACAGAATTAAGTATCTAGTATAGAGAATATCTATAAATTTATAGTATTTTTAACTAACCTTTATCTAGCCTACTACTTTCTCCTAAATAACTTTAGGATTATATTTTCCCGATTAATAAATTATAGTAATTATAAAGTTAAGGCTACTATTTTTAATTATAGAAAATTATTACTTTATAATATTAAGCTTTAAAATAAAGTTATAATAGAAAGTTATTAGAAATTTCTATAAGATTCTATTAAATATATAGCCTATTTTTATAGTATATATATATTTATAGTAATTTATAGGAAACTAAAGGTCTATACTATTTTTAGATAACTAGTATAAAAGATTATAATAGTTTTATTTAAGTATTTCTATAAGATTCTAAAAAATACTAAGGCTTTCGGATTTAATTAATTATAATAAAGTAAGTTAGTATACTTGGGAATTTCTTTTTTTAGATAGCAGATTAGGCTAGAATTCTAAATTACTATCTTTAGATAATATATTCTCCTATAATACTAAAATTTTTATAAGCTTATTTTATAATATCTTAGGTAATTCTAGAAGATACTATTAAAGCTCCTCTATAAACTATATATAATTAGCCTATAGAGTTCTCTAATAAGCTTAAGAAATTACCTTATTATTAGTAAGTAATTTCTCTAAAGTATAGTACTCTAACCGGAAGTATATATTCTTAGTAACTTATTAGCCTATTATAGATATAAAGAGATAAATCAGGCTAGAGTCTGCCTTAGATCTATAGGGTAATATTACCAGAAATAATAAATTAATTCCTGCTTCTATAACTCTTATAAAGCCATATAGTTTAAGCTCTAGCTATCTTATATAGATACTACTAGTACTAGAAGCCGAATTAGAAATAAGAGAAGTAGGTATTCCTCCTGGACTTTAGTTTGGGCTAGTATAAATACTATACTATATTATATATCTAATTTTAATAAGTTACAGGTTAGGATAATACAGGGCTATCTAGTAAGAAACCTACCCAGAGGTCCTTAATAAGTTATATGTATATTAGTAGCAGGTTAGGAGCAATGCACTTCTATATATTAATTATGGCTCTAATTATAGCCCGCTAGCTAGTTCTATAATCCGCAATTACATTAGTATAAGGCATTAGTATTCCGCTTTCTGGGCTATAGTTTGCCTCCTTATTTCTTAACCTACCGGAAGTCCTCTATAATTATATATATATCCCGTAATAGCTTAGAAATAATTCTATATATATAGGGGCAAAGCTATTAATAAGGGTTACTACAAGTAATACTTCTAGTAGTTTCAATTATCTCTTAAAATCTAAATATATTTCTCTATTTTAGTAATTTGTTCTACTTTCTATATTATACCTTATATAACTATCTATAATTATTTAAAGTACTAGTATACTATATATTAATTATAGCCTACTAGCTACTATTCGGGATAATAATACTATATATTATTATAGTAATTATAGATATCTAATACTATACTTCGAACTTTTCTAGAGTAGTATATGTTTTTTTCATTTAGTATTAATAGTAAGAGTAAGAGTCGCCCTCTTATTAATTGTCTTATTTAATTATAGATATTTATCTAACCTATATTATAATTAGGATAATCAAAATTACTTTCCTTAAAGTAGGAAGACTAGGTACCTCTATTATAGCCGCTAGCTGCCTCGGGAATAAGAACCTATATATAAGCTTTAATACTTTATAATATTATAGTATTATAGTATTGCCTTAACTAATTAGAGATACTAATAAGGGAGAGGGTACTATATAGAGACATTTCATTTTGGGAACCATAGAATTAATATACTATAAACTCTTTTTATTCAAGTCCAAATACTATACTTTATATTAATATCTTACTTCCCCTATATTACTATATAAAGAATTAGTAAAGCTATCTTAATTACCTAGGTACTAATATATTATACTATAACTATAGGCTATAAATATATCTAAGGGCAGTCCGGCTTCTCTTTATTAGAAGTCTAATTAATATTAGTATTTATAAATATATAAGAATATAAATCTTTTCTAAAGTTTTTATTATTATTTCCCTTTATATTTAGTATCTAGCTCTTTAAATATCTTTCTAAACCTTCTTACTTAGTATATATCTTGTCTATTATATATATAAAGTAGTCTATTATATACTAAAAATATCCTATTATAATCTCATATAATAAAATAATAATAGGATATATTAAGAATATTTCCCTACTAATTTAACTATTTTTGGAAGCTTAAGCCTTAATTCTAGACTTCTTGTTTCCAGGCTTTACCTACTTGTCTACTACTATCTAATAGTATCTTAGTATTAACTTGAGTATTTATACTTCTCGGCTCTATTTCTTTGGGTTATTTGTATTTATTTATAGATATATTTATATATATTTATAGAAGCTACTAGAGACTTATTATAGTAAAAACCCCTTCCTATCCAAATAATAAGAGAACTATTTTCTAATAATTAGTAGCTTTAACTATTTATTTATAATATTATAATAATATATATAATATACTTATATTATAGATATCTATTTAGAACTTTACCCAGAATGCTTTCTTCTTCCTTATTACTACCGACTTAGCCATATTATTAAATTGCTCGAGAAATTATTATTCAAATAGTAGAGATATAAATAAAAAGACTCTATATTATATATCCTGAAATAGTTACTTTTTTATATAATATAAGGGCTAATAGCTTATATTCCGGTATTAATATTAAGCTAGAGAATTCAGAAGTTAAGAAGAAGTCTCTATTTCCTGCTTTAGTAACTCTCTATAAATTCTTAAGGAATTACTTAATAAGTATTATATTGAGTATACCAAGCTACTTTAGGATAAAACCTATATCTATAAGCTATATTCTAAAGGCATTTAAATAAGGTCTATAATATCTAAATTAAGATATATCTTGACTATTATTCTTAATAAGAATAGAAAAAGAGAGCTATTAGATAATATTAAGAACTTCCTTAATCCGGTATTCTAATAGTAGTATTCCAATTATAATACTTTCTATTAATAGGGTTACTTACTATATAAACCTCCTAAAACTAGAAAATCGAGCTTAAACTTAGCTATTACTAGTTATTTTAACTTAAATATCTATATTCTTAATCTTTCTACTATTAGTAAAGTTATTCTAAAGTACCTATTTAATAGTCTTTCAAATTACTATATTATTCTTTTAGAAGATATTAATACTATTAGCTCGAATTAAGATACTAAAACCGAAGGCTTTTATTAAATCGGAACTGGCTTTCTTTTCCAAATAAGTAAATCTATTAGTAAAAAAGTATCTTTATCCTTTATCTTAAATATTATTAATAGTATTAGGTTATAAGAAGGCCGAATCCTGATTATAACTACTAACTATATTATATGCCTTAATAAAGTACTTATATAACCTGGCTATATAAATAAAAAAGTCAAGCTTAGGCTTACTAATAATATAATAATAGCTAATCTTTTCTGTCTTATCTTTAAGCCAGTATAATAAAATATTACTCTTCCTAAGAATACTTAATTAGAAAATAATATAAAGGTCTATAAAGCTATAGTAAGTCAGAGAGAAAAGGCCAAGAGAGTTAAGTAGTTAGTAAAAGAGTTTATTAGTAATATACTAGAGCTAAAATTCAGCTTAGTAGAAATTTTCTTATTTCTTATAAAATATAGGAAATTACTAAAGGAAACTATTAGTAATATAGAGAAACTTATCTCGAAGCTTATTAAAATAAAGTTAAAGCTACTAAGGATATCCGAAAATATTAAGCCTAAAGATACTAGGCCTAAAATAGCCCGAGATTTCAAGTTAGTATATCTCTAATAAAATATAAATTAAATTATACTAATAATTTATTTAAGTAAAATAAGAAATCTTTAATAATAGAAGTTCTAATCGAGATAGTTTAAAGTTACTTAGTATTAGTATAACTAATTATTCTACTAAATAGCCTAAATCTCTTATAAGCTATTATAGATATATAGATGCTTTCTAGTTATATCCTGAAATATATATACTCTTATATACTTTCTAATAGCCCTTCTAAGACTACTTTAACTAATTTCTATCTACTAACTCTATATTATATACTATTACGGATTGTAATTACTAAGTATATCTAATAGTTCTTAGGTATTCTCAAATTACTTAGTACTAATTAAGGGCCTCTTCTTTTTTCTATAAAGCTATTTAGTGAATCTGGGAAACCAAAAGCCCGAGCCTTAAGGCTAAAGTTTAAAACTATTAATAAAATATATGTCTTAAATCTAATATAAGTTTATATATACTAATATAATTCTATTATATAGCTGAGATAAAAAAGTATATAAGTATATAATTAAGGAATTACTAAAATTAATAAATAAAATAAATAAACTCGATTAATATATATTTATTATTTGTATTTGGATTAGTTAGTATATTTGCTCTAAATAGGTTCTATATACTTATAAAGATATTCTAGATAAGAAAGCATTAACTAATATTATTTATATTAATATTAAATTAGAATAATTATAAGATATCTTAAAAATAGTTCTAAAAAATATTTATAGAATTAGTATAAAGGAAAACAAACTTTTTATAAGCTCTTTCTCTCTAACTATATAAAATTAACTACTAATTTTGAGTTCAGATTAAGTAAAATCTCTTATATTACTACTTTTCTAAACTTAAATCACACCGAAATAATACTAATTCTTTTAACTTAATATATATAAAACACTTTAATATTTTTATCTAATATATTATAGTAACTTATATAAATAGAACTCGTATCTTACTACTTCTTATAAATAGTAAAATTATATATAACTTATTCTGGGCTCTTTTTAAGCCAAATACATTTGCTTATACTATATATTCCGGGATATAGAAACTAAAATATATTAAATATAACTTTAGTAAAGAGAGAACTATATTTAATAGAATAATATACTTCTATATTAAGAGCTATTATATCGGCTTTAATAGGAAAGTATTTAATAAGATTCTAATTAATATAAATATTTTGAAATTCCGTAAATTAAAGCCTATTAATTCTCTTAATATTTTCTCTTTATAATATTACGAAAATTTGGGCTATATTAGAATAGAGCTAGTTATATATAGTCAGAAGTTCGGCTCTTTAAATAGTATTAGGTATCTCTAATATAGTAATATAGTATTTCAAGTAATAAAAGAAAAGGTAATTATAATATTTATTTCTAGTAAAATTATAGTTAATATAGCCTATTTCCGAAAAATTAACCCTAATTATATTAGGCCAAGTATAATTAGGGTAGCTAATAGCCGGTAGTATAATTCTAATTCTATTAATTTCTGGTTTAATAATAATAGTTTACTATTACTTCTATTACTATAGGCTAACTAAATCAAGATTAATAATATAAATATTAATATATAAAATAAAGATAACTTAATTATTTATAGTCTAATTATTCTAGGTTATAGCCTAAATAATAAGTTATAGTATAAGAATTCTATCTGGTAATAAGAGGTTTATAAAACTAATTAAATTTGCAAATAGTAAAGTTTACTATTAATAATATTACCGAGATTAGCTAGAACTACTTATTCTGAAATTATCTTATAATAGATATTAAATAAAAGAAACTTACCCTAGCTTTTATAGTATCTTATTTATAGCAGATATTTATTTATTTATTTAATAATATTATAATAGGGAAGAATTATAATCTAATTATACTTTTCTAGTATAATATTTAGCTTTAATTATATTTCTCAAGTCTACTAATATATATTTCAATAAATTGCCTGGGATTAGTAAAATACTAATTACTAAAGTACTATTAGAGTACTTATAGAAACTATTCTATACTATAGGTATTTTTTTTTTAGAGATATTATTCTTTATACTAATATTTTATAGATATTTACTAGGGATCTGAGTAGTAATATAATAAAGCTCGAAAAGCAGCTTTTATTTTATTTTAAGCTTACGGATTACTAAAATACTTTGCTTTTTCTTAATAAGGCTAATGTGTTTTTATATAAATATAATACGGATTATACTTATAACTTTCTTATTTTAGTATTTCTATAGAAGTTAGAATATTATTAAGGAATTATACTTCTTATTACTAACCGAGTTAGGAATTTTAATAATATAATCTAGAGTAGGATTTACTTTATACTTCTATATAGTTCTTTAAATATTAATATAAGAAAGGAAATCTGGAATATTTTTCTTTAAAATATAATTATAGCTAAAGGAAAAGCAGACTATAGTAATAAGAACCTTAATAACCTTATAAGATATAATTTTAATAGCTACTAGATAGGGCTCTATTTTATAAAAGTTATAAGTTTATATACTAATAAGTTCCTCTTTTAAATTAGAAATATTATTCGGGTAATATATATTTTAGTATCTCAGAAAGGGGCTATAATATTCTATTCTTATTTGGAAATTATTATTAACTCGGGTAAGGAATTCGAAACTAATATATAAGAAGGTTCTTCTGAAAATATATAATCTTATTTATAGTTATCTGGTATTTGGGCTATATATTTGCCTTTATTCTTGTTTTTAGTAGGTTGAGTTAGAGCTATATTAAGATAGGAAGAGTATTTATAGACTCGGGAAAGTCTACTAGATTATAAATATGAATTATCTTTTATTCTATTAGTTTTTAATTATTTTTGAGAAATAGGATATTGAGGGCAATATATAATAAATATAATATATGTCTTATTTCTATACCTATATTATAGTTTTCTCTTTATATAATTAGAATAGGAGAACCGGCTCTAATAAATACTATAGAAATATACCTGTCTAATTAAGCTTTATATAGTATCTCTCAGAAGAGGTATTTAGTAAAGGAGCTATTTATAAAGGCTATATTTTTCTAACTATTATAAATATAAGCCCTTTTCCAGATATTACTAGCTATTTCAGCTATCTCCTTATATTAGTTTAATATTTCTACTAGGGTCTAGTTTAACCTTACTTAAATCTTTCCGTTATACTATACCTACTCCGTAACTATACTTATATAACTAATATTAAGTCGACTTTATTAAGTATAGCTTTGAGTATAACTCTTGAGCTTACTAAGCCTATAACTAATAAACCTATATTTGGAAAATTATTAGAGATAAGGAGGCCCAAAAGAAGCCTTAATGAATTATCTAAAGAAGTTTCCTATAAGATCTTCTTTTTATAAATAAGAAATACCGAGCTAATTTAATATTTAATTCGGCAAATATAACCTCTAATAAAGAACTCGATTTATAGAAACAGAAGTAGTATAGACTTATATTACTCATATATCTTAATAATAAAGGCTTATAGGTATTAATAGAAAAGAGCTTTAGTATTCTCTCTTAGGCCCAGAAGAACTACTAATATATAATAATAACTATTATTAGGAAAATAGAAGCCTAAAACAGAAAACTAATTACTAAGGTATTAGAGCTTCTAGATTTCTAAATATACTAATTACTAGAGGAGACTTTTAAAGGTACCGAGAACTAAGTATATATACTAGTTACTAATTTAATTAATGGGATATAGGTATAATAATATTATATAATTGAGATAAAATAATGCATTTAATAATATAAACTAAAGAAGAAGGAGTTTATAGACTATAACTCTAGTTCTAATAGAGGACTAGAATATATATAGAGAAGAGAGAGTAATTATTATAGCCTGAATAAGTTATAGAAATAGAAAGAAATATATATTAGTATAATTATAAGAAATAATCGAGCCCTAATAATAGTAAAGAAGCTATATATATATCTGTATATAGTATATAATAGTAATAGATAAGGAATTGGTTTTAAGACTTAATAAAAAAATCTTTTTCTAAACTAGAATAGAATTATATAATTTTTATATATATAAAAATCTGGCTCTTTACTATTAAGAGCCTTAATTATACGATCTGAACCTTTAGCCAAATCATGTACCATATATCTATTATTATTCTTTATTATTATTACTAATTCTTTATTAACTAAAAGTTTAGTTACTACTTTATATTTCAAGTAGGTAGAATAATATAATAGTATTTATAGGCTTAGTAAAAATACTTTTAGTATTAATAAGGTATTAATACTAGATAATATTAGTTAGATATTATAAAAATTAATATATATTAATACCGAATTAATACTTAGCCTTAAATTATTTCTTTTATTTATTATTTAATTTATATAATAATATATTTATATATAATTTCTTT